TGAACGACTATATCTGAAAACATGCCTTGTTCTATTAATTTTCATTTTAGCCTGTGGTTCAAGTTAGGCATTATTGTTCATTTAATGTAGCATCTGTAAATTATTTTCTGTGAAATACAATGAAGGGAATGTTTCATGTGCTAGGAAGATTTTGTAAATATGGAAAATCAATTTAATCATGACCAGAAATGGAGAGGATTGTTTCTCTGTTCCCTGCATCCCAAAGTCACTGCACCATCCTGTTTTGCTTTTCCATATTCTCTTTGCCTTTTTCAACCTTGTCCTTGGTGGTTTACCCAAATATCCCAGCTTTTACTTGGTTAGATTTGTTCATTTTTAATCAGACCAAAGAGAATCTTGCCCACATTTCAGGGACAAGAAAGGAAGGAAACATCACTGAGACTCAAGTTATGCACAAGCGTTGACAGAATTTCTACAAAATAGACCATGCACGATGAAAGGTGGGAAAAGAAAAATTTTGTGTCCACCCTGAACAAACAGATAATCAAGTTAGAATAACTAGCCAAGTGCCAATGCATGTAAGAAAAAAGTTAGGGTCATAAGAGACATGAATATTTAGAGATTCCACCAGTTGAAACAGTAATGTACTTCCAAAGAATGGGGACTTGAACTGTGCATAGAAAAATGCATAAAACTGGATGGGAAGAGACGAGTAGAGAAAAAAAAGAGTCCACTAGGCTAAGGACATTCATGGGCAAAGTCTCAGAGGGACAGATGGGCATAGCATATTCTGAGGACAATGTGATTTGCTTGGATGACAGAGGACTTGAGGTAGGGAGAAGCATGAAATAAGGCTGGATGGTTTAGGAAGGACAATGCACCCATTCCGATCATGACCAATAACTGAATTAGGCATTGAAATCTGTTGCAAAGACCAATCTTGGAGACATACAGTTAAATAAAAACAATTTCTCTGTAATTCACTATCAATAAACCCATGACCTTATTTACTTTATTCTCATGTATATAAAGAATTGAATATATTAAAAAAAGAATTAAGGACTTTTTCAATAAATTTTCATATAATGGCATTGTTTTATTTTTAAAAACTGAAGGAAATATGTATGTACTTAACAAATATAAACATGACACAGAATAAAAATGCTGTACTTTTTAAAGAATTGTTTGTTTAATAAGGTTTTAATACATTACAATAAAGGCATTTCTTGGAAAATGTGTTCCTTCAAAGTGAGGCTGGAAATCGAGTGAAAATTCAGTTTGCTGTTTACTTGGAGTAAAGTGGTGGAAATGCATTGGATTAATGACCAAAACTACTTTCAAAAGATGAAAAGAAATTATGTTGCCATGATTTTTATTATACATCATTTCTGAAAACAGGAGAAAGAAATAACTTAAATAAACAAAAGTAACCTTTTTAACTGTTATCTTCATAGAGGTGTACAACTGTGGAGATGACTGGAGAGCATGATTGATCATATTTCTTTTGTATTGTATTTGCAGCATCAGAGTCCATCCTATTTCTCAGTTCCACAGGAACTGGCCAAGACAAGATTCAAATTAAAAAAAAAAATCTTACTGTGTAGTTCAATTTCTATACTCACTCAGTGAAATTTGAAGAAAAAATCAGAGGCCCAGTGGTGGAGGTGCAAGAATAATGTACCACTCTACAACGCTGGATCCACCAGCAGGATTTGAGGTTCAGTTTTCTGGTCAACCTATACATTCAGGGAATACTCCCACATGCCTGTGATCCTGACTGACTAGAAAGGCTAGGGGAGAAGATTGCAGCAGAGTCAGATCCTGTCAAGGATGCATTCTTTCTGTCTGTCTCTCTCATGACATAAATAAATAACTTTAAAAAGAGAGAGAGAGAAGAAAGAAAAGTCAGAGATAATGGTAACAGAAATCATTAGATGAAACTGTCTGCATCTTTACTAATTCTCCTGCTATTCCTTTTTTATTGTTTTGCATTTCTTGTTTTTTCAGTTTTTTTATGTATAAAAAGTGAGCATGGTAAAGACAACAGGTGTGGTGATACAAAATAGCATTCATGACTGAAAAGAATATTATTAAAAAAAGTACTCTAGGGGCCAGCAGGTGGTGTGGTGGTTAAGAAATTACATACCCACATGGTCCACCACAGTTTGAGTCCCAGTCCTGGCAGCTTGAAAATCACGCCGGGCGCATGTGCATGCATGACCGAAAACCCCATTGGAGAATAGAGAAGAGATTGCAGCATGGCCAACCCCTGCCCTAGGGGAGAGGGGCGGCATTGATTTCTCACTTTCCCTCTTTCTGTCTCAGTCTATCTTTCTCTAGCAAAAACACACACCCTATGGGAAAAATGCTATTTGAAAAAATATATATATTTTGCCAAATTTGGTCTGGATAGTTTTAAGTTATCTATTTAAGCAAGCAGCTTTAAATTAGTTTTAAAATGACAAATAAAAGATGATCTTATTCCTCCAAAAAAAATGATATTCTGAAATAATTCACCATCACAATATTGGATTTTAATAAGGAAACATGGCTGCATTAATGTCAGAGGGTGAATGTCATTACATGGACTCATTTCCTCTTACATCGAGAAACCTCTTAACAATATTGATGGCTGCCACAGATGTGATTTTTTAAAGAGAATTGTATTGCCATGTACTTATTAGATTTGCTAATTAATTTTTAGAATTTTATTTCTAATAGAAGCTCAGCAGGATAAAAAGGTGATGATTATTACATATTTCTTACCCCAAATATGAAACATATACATATACAATGTGCATCTCTTTCCTGTCTCCCTTTGCCCTCTCTCTCCTGTAGAATCTTCATTTGACCCTTAACCAATATGTGGTGAGACAGAACAGGCAGCTATGCTAACAAAAACCTTTGTCATGAAAGTTCACGCCAAATCTTTGTTAACGAGAAGCTACCAGTTCTTGCCCAGGTCCACTTTTCTTCTTCAACATAGTGATGTGGTGAAAACAAGTTGCAAAATCCACCTCTCTCTCTAGCAACAATTCCATGAGTTCTCATGACTTTATTTCAAGTTCCTCATGAGCAATGTTTGGGAAGTCAGCTAAATCATCAATTATTTTTATTGAGGATTAAATTTAATTAAGTTTAAACAGTTATTTTTTTCATTGTATAGACAATGATAAATACACAACTGAATATTTTAAATCCTTTGAATCTTCTGTTGTCACATGGTAAGTATGTATCAGAAGGCTTGGTAAGTTAATGTTACCAAAAGTCAAATAAAAGAAATTACATTGTTCTTTTAAGGGTATAATTCTAGTTCCGGCACCTGTGTTCATAAAGTAGCATAGAGTTCTTTGAATTAATGAGATATGGCATATTGACTAAAACTCTTAAAGGTAGAATTCAAAAACCAAGCCAATAAGAACTGAAGAAATGTTAACTTTCTCTCCATTGTAGTTTTAGACCTGTCAACAAAATTATCAGGGCAGCCATTTTAGAGATAATCTCTAGGTACTGCTTACAGGTTTCCACTTATATTTAATGAAAATGTGCCTTCTCAAACAATCAAATATTTGCCCTAAGTTCTACTTCAGGATGTTTGTATTTGGTCAACTCAAAAGTTGAAGTCAAGCATTCATTTTCAATGAGTCTTGAGAGTAGCATACAATTAAAGGATTTGATAATTGTGTACCTAACGAAAATTAAGGAAATCATTTACTAACAGATGACATTCATTTTCAGTGTTTTATTCTTATATTTGTCTTCCAGTAAATATATATTTCTTAGATGTATGGGATGGTATGTGCGAATCTTACTAATTTTGTCTGTACAGGTAAACAGGTTATTATCCCTCTCTGAAGATCAATGGTGCATGTTCAATGTTCTTACGAAAAAGGAATCATCTCATCACAACTTACTTTGTGTGACTTTCTTCCATGTTCCCAGTCATGCGAGAAGTACCACACTGCATACCTATGCCTACATTACGCAGAGTATTGCACTGAATGCCTATGCCTAGAACTAGCTATGTGGAGTATCAAAGGAAGTATTCTGCTATAGAATGGAGCACAGGGTTTTTCACACAGTAGCCATTCGGTAGTTGTCAAAATAAATAGTACATGAAAACTTGCATTACCCCTACTCAACTGAAATGATTAATTCCCTTAGTTGGCACATTGAGCTATCAGAAATAAGAGCAGCTAAAGTCACTGCTATGTTGCATATTCATTTCTTCTTCAGTAGACTTTCATTTTTACCTGTTTGCCTGCTCAAAATTTTGAGTTGTCATCTAGCAACCTTATAATCATTACATGAACCACCAAAGACTAGATATTTGCATTCTAAATGCACCTTGGGTGAAAATCTATTGTCTTCTAATGAAAAAGACCAAAACTTTATTTGAAGACAAAAATGCTACCATATAGAACAAATAATTCATTTGGAAATCTTGTTTTTTATTAGTATAATTTAATGCCTTATGCTTTATAGATATCAATTCATTCTGAAGCAAGGCTTGTGGAACTTTTAATTTAAATTTTTAACTCTGAATGACAGTAGATACTGAACTTGTTCAACTGTGTTACAATTTCCTTTTACAAGAGAAAAACATTACTTAAAGGCAGGCCACCTACAAAATTTTGTAGAAGTGAAAGTAATCTCCCAATTGTTTCAATCTGTCTGATTTGGTTCATGAATACCCTGACTTTGTGTGTGTGTATATGCGTGTGTATATATGTGTGTGTGTGTGTGTGTGTGTGTAAATTATTACTCAAGTGAACATACTGTGTTTCTTTCATTTAAGTTTACACATTTCAATATACAATAGTGTTTTCTTACAAATAAGAAATAGAAGTTGAAATAGTTGATCTATCAATCTGAACTGATAAGTGAGACAGTGCTAAATGCAAGTTTCATTGACCACAGATCAAGAAAAAAACCTCTTCCATTGTCCATTTTTTTTAATCTATTTTTCAAAAACTGTAAGGAGAAAATACTCTCAGGAGGAAAAAAGATGAAGCTTTACTGCAAAAGAAATGAATGCAAGAAATAGCACTTTAAGTAGTGAAGAGACATGAAGCATTGCAACTTCATAGCCTGCTAAGGAGCAACAGCTGTACCTAATTTCAACTTGACGTGCTTCAGATCTCATATTCATATAGGTATTTAATGATCCAAACATAATGGTCCTATATAGAATAATTACTTATATGAAGGCGCAAACTTCATACGCATTCCTGTTTAAATGATCCTTCAAGAGAAAAACTGCACTGGTTCTTTGAACAATGAATAGTCTCTTTCACCAATCCAAATGTTTGGGGCTAAATAGTTTATCTTTTAAGATATAATAATAATAATGCTTCTGGGGTTACTTCTTTTTGACAGACTCTTTTTGTCTCCCCCCTTCCCAGGATAGCCAGTACAATGAAAAAAGGTAAAATGCCAAGCCAATCATTAAGTCATAGTGGTAGATAGTTACAAGAAATATCAGAAACAAGAGGAAATAAGGTATTTTAGAGTTGGTATATTTTGAAAGCAAAGATTCATTGCTTTGAGTTTGACTTTCCTTATCAGGGAGATCAGTAGAAGCAGAGATCTCAGATTCCTTGTCACCTGAAGAGTGGAGTGATTGTCCAGACTTTATTAATTCTTCATTTGCATGCCTTGCCTCCTGCGTATCCTCATGAGCTTCGCTTATTAAAATCATGGGCCCTTGAGATTTTTCCACACTGCATTCTCCTGACTGGAAAATCTGACCTATACATCTTTCTTTTTTACTACCTGATGCCAGTATTCCTGACCTTTTGGAAACATCTTCAGGATTAGATTTAGGATGGCAGTGATTCTCAATACCCTGGACTTCAGTTGGATTACAATTATATTCTGATTTAGTAGAAACAGATTGAAGAGCTGTGGTAGTAATTGTATTCTCTACAGCACTTGCCTGTTCATAAGATGGTACAGTTTGGGGATGGGAAATGTGAGAGTCATTCTGAGAAACTCTGTGAATGTCAGAGTTAAAAGCAGATTGAACAACAGCATCTAAGTCTGTTTTCTTTGATAACTGTTGGGCCTGCCCAAGATCTCTATTTTCTGGAAATATTTTTTTGTCTGTTGGTAACCTTCCTAAATGCAAATCTAGTTTTGAATTTGCTTTTTGATTACCTGTAATGACCTGTGAGGATTCTTCTACCAATGTTATATTTCTAGTGCCATATTTCTCCCTGTCATGTGTCTTTTGAGTATTGTACATAGACATGGTTTCCTCCTTCTCCATTTCATCTACACGAACATTACAAATACCTACACGTGCTTGCTCCTCAAAATCATTGTCATAGATTACACCTACTGTATCTCGTTGACAAAGGGTATAATGTGAATCATCATTTCTCCCTTCATGTGGATCAAACGCTGTTTCCTTTATCTCGATGGGCCTGTCACTTCGTGCTGTCTCTTGAGGTAGCTTAGCAATTATTGCTTTTTCTCTAGCAGACATGCTTTCTGGAGTACTTTCTGATGTTGTCTTAATTATATAAGCTGTTCCTGCTTCTGCTTTCTCAGTAATACCATGATCAGCTAGAGAAGGCAGTTCACAGAGCACTGTTTCTTGGCAGGTAAACAATTCTGTAGAAGTAGCTCTCAGACTTCTCCTATTATCTCTTTTTCCCCTCCTGTCCTCATAATTTGCTTGTTCTTTGATCTGCTTTGTTATATGTGTCTTACTCCCTTTTGCTTTTCCCTGACTTTCCAGAACATTCCAACTGTGTTTATGCTGTGTATTTTTATTCTGATCTTCAGGATTAATCCAATCTGATTTTTCTTCTTCAACCTGGAAAAGATAATCATTCCTCAAAACATCTTCATTTCTTGGTGAAAACTCTTGACCACTTTTCCCTCCCAAAGAGATGCCCTCACTAGTTGAGAGATCACGTACTGATGGTGTTACCATAGTTTCTTCCCAATTTAAATTTGTCCTTGGTAAATGAAATGTGTCTACTGTTATTGCCTGGGCAGGAACTGTGGTACCTTGTGTAGGCAAAGCAGTTGGGTGTCTTTTACTAACTCCAGTCCCTTCCATGCTTATTTTGGAGTGGCCTATCTGCCTTTCTTGGTCATGTAAGATTGATTGAAATTTTTGTTTTTCATTAATACCTGAGTGCTTCTTTTGTTCCTCTTCCTCCTTACCATTGTCATAATCTTCCATGGAAGATCTGCTTTCTGTTGATTCTTCCAGATATGCAGACACATCTGAATGGAAATCTCTCCTTAAACATTCCCAATCTTTTATTTCAACTTTCTTAGCTCCTCCTTCATGCTTTTTATTATGGTTTCCTGTTTTTATTTGATCTGAGGAGGGACAATATAGTTGCACTCTGCAACTCCCTTCGGCTGGATTAGCATTATCATCTAGGACTTCTTTGCTGCTAATAGATAATTGCACTAATTCATCACTACTAGTATCTCCTAATGATGGCTTGATTTCTCCCACATCTGAAAGAATTTTCTCTGAAGGCCGATGACTAGACTCATTTCCTGAGAAAGATTTTTCATTGTGGTGAAAATCTCTCTTCAGGGAGCTTTCTGCTGATGAATTTGGAGACAATGGTCTTTTGAACAAATCTGTGCATGTTTCACCATGAGGTTGCTTCTTCTCTAACTCTTCAACTTTATTTGAAAAATTGACTGTATCAGTTGAAAATGGATTCATCTCATCTCTGGTAGGAGTACTTCTAGTTCTTTGTAAATGTTGATTTATCTTATGGGATAAAAAGAACAATAAAGAATAATGGCCACATGATCTTTTTAAACGTGCAGAATGACATCGAAAGGCTTTTATTAATTTAGTTAGTAATTATCTGGTAGATTTCCTTGACTCATTTCATTCATGGATTTCATACAAACTCTGGAAGCCAGATGTTTTGGGGGAGATCCTTGTAAGCTATGACTTGGGAATGAGATTAGTAAGAAAAGGGACCCAAATTAATCACTATCCCTCTCAGCTTCCGAATTTCACATTGTATTATTCAACTATTCTTGCTTGTCATTGCACTTTCTCTTCACTTAGGATATACACATTGATAGCTCCATGCTAATCAATTAGAGAGAAGCTTCCTGGGTGCCCCTTGCTGCATTTACACTTGCTGTAGGTGCCCCCATTACAGTTTCTCTTATTAATATGTTTTCTGCAAAGCCTCTGCAAACTATTAATAGCAAAACGTCACTCAAAGAAAAGTGAGGGAGTTAATGTCTCTGCAAATTCTGTTTTAATGACCCTCTGCCAACTGGTACTCAAATGTATTTGAGCTCTTCAGTGATGCCAACTGTCAGGATTTAACAGTGAGATGCCTGTGTTTTTTTTTTCTCCTCATAACTGACATTTGCGCATGATCTCAATAATTATATGCAAATCTTACGTTTTCCCCTTCTTCTCACATAAGGCTCATGTTACTTGTCAACTGCACAGCTGTCTTGTAAGCCAATGCCTGTGGGTTCCACAGATTTGGTTGTATTTCCATCTATTATAGCGCTTCATTGTTTTATGCATTAACGTCAGCATGGAGCAAATTAGCATCTAAATTACAGCTCCCTGTTCATTTATTGGATGTACAATCTCAGTAACTTCTAAACAAACTTTTATATTTGAGCCTGCTCATCATAATGAGGTGTATTGGTGAAGTATGTGATTTTTCAGAGCCCTTTTATTATATTCTGTGGTTTGAAAAAAATGGCGATGTTAACTTTCAGCTGGTGAGAATTCTCACAATGGGTGACAACTTTGTAGTTTCTTAAAGTTGGAGCAAAGTAAATTGCATACTTTAGTGATGTGGCTCCCATATCAGTATAGAAAAGGTGGAATATGTGGGGAAAGAGATGAGCTCTATTTCTTTTCTGTTTCAGCTCCTCATAACTGACATTTGCATGATCTCAATAATTATATGCAAATCTTACGTTTTCCCCTTCTTCTCACATAAGGCTCATGTTACTTGTCAACTGCACAGCTGTCTTGTAAGCCAATGCCTGTGGGTTCCACAGATTTGGTTGTATTTCCATCTATTATAGCGCTTCATTGTTTTATGCATTAACGTCAGCATGGAGCAAATTAGCATCTAAATTACAGCTCCCTGTTCATTTATTGGATGTACAATCTCAGTAACTTCTAAACAAACTTTTATATTTGAGCCTGCTCATCATAATGAGGTGTATTGGTGAAGTATGTGATTTTTCAGAGCCCTTTTATTATATTCTGTGGTTTGAAAAAAATGGCGATGTTAACTTTCAGCTGGTGAGAATTCTCACAATGGGTGACAACTTTGTAGTTTCTTAAAGTTGGAGCAAAGTAAATTGCATACTTTAGTGATGTGGCTCCCATATCAGTATAGAAAAGGTGGAATATGTGGGGAAAGAGATGAGCTCTATTTCTTTTCTGTTTCAGCACTGACACTTGAAGAGGCAAATGTCATTGTAATCTTAGATGATTATGAATCCATGTATCCCAATGATTTGAGCTCCAACCAAATACAAGAAAGGATAAATTGCATTATGTGACTCATTTACTCCTATTTCTTTCTTTGTGATACAAGTGCTAGCTAAAGCATCCCCCAAAAAAATTTCAAATAGATTGAATGTTCTCCAAGTGTGAAATTTATGATAACAAATTTAATACTAAGTTGTCCAGTTCTGAATTTGTTTTCCGTTTAAAAATGGAGGCACAGGCTATTTTCGTCTCACTTGGTGATATAATATTCTACAATGATATGGAATTTTGAGATTCTCACAAGGATGGAAATAAGAAAAAAAATCTGCTAAGTGCAAGAATCATAGACTTGTAGAGTTGGACAGCACCCTAACAATCATCTAGTCCAGCCCTCTCATTCTATACGAGTTTATGCTGAGTGTACACTTGTCACAAAGATTAGAAATGCACATCAGGATAGTGCTACCTCTCCTGTAATTCCTACAAACTATTACTCAGAGCCGCTGGTAAAGAGATAAGAAATGAATGTCATTAATTTACCACTGCAGAGACCAGAAGCAACATAGTGAAATCAAAGTGCCTTGTTGATCGAGCTAGAGATGCAAGGACAGAACAGGTTGTGCTTTCACATTTGCAAATTACATTAGTTGAAGCTCTTGAAAGGCAGGCATTGCAGCATCTTTGAAGCATAAATGGATTCATCTTCTCTAATACCGTGACAACCAGAACACTTACCATCAACTCTAATTCTTTTTCATTTTGTTCATCATGTTCCCTGTTTACGTCTTTTACATTTTGATTAGTGGTTTCCAAGTCATCTCTGTCCTCATGAGAACAAACGATTGTTGGGATATAGGTATCTGAAAAGTTAATATAATTGTATCCATGTAAGATTGTTTTACCGTAGGCTTTAAAGAGACAAATTTTGTTTAAAGACTAAATAAGAAATAGTACCTGTAACCTTTGAATTCTCAGAGTTATTCTCTTCAGATGTTACCGATGATTCTTCTTTACTGTTAAATTTAAAACAAAATGTTATATATTTTTCTATAACTACATCTTCTAAGTATTTTTACACAGAGGAAAATTTAAGCCAATAACAACCCAAATAAATATTGCATAATCTTTCGTTTCTTTGTATTATTTTGTATATTTTTAAATAAAATTGATATTTTGGAATGATGCAATAATAAATATCAATGTTAGAAAAATTTCTAGATAATTCAAACAATGCTATATTTCCAAACAAGATCATGTTGCTTATATTTTTTGTCTTTTTTTCATTTTTTAATTTATTTTTTAAATTTCATTTTCTTTTATACAGTCAGTCACATTATTTAGCTTACAATGTGAATATTTTAACATATGAACACTTCTCCCTAGTACAGTTGACTAAACTATAAAATATCTTTAACAGAAATTGGCATGTTTCTTTGTCCCATGTTGCTTATATTAAAAGATGTGTAACCAAACTGAAAATACATGTAAATATAGATCATTCCATCATGAATTAAATCTTCACAAGAACATTTTTTCTTGGTTTAAGTGATAAAGTTTTATGAACTGACAGTACATTTCAGGTTGTAGAAATTGCTTTCTAATATTTCAATTATTAATGTTTTTGTGTTCCATTTTACTTAAAATTCTTTCACTTGAACTGATATAACATTAAATTTCTCTCTAGAAAAGGCAAGAGGATAGAAACAACAAGATAACTAAAAACTGAAAGGGAGCTAAATTTATACCCAGTTAAAAGAATTTATATGTATATTGCCACAGGCCAATTTCATAACTAAGACTTCAGGTCTCTCATATGCAAGCATATATTTTCTTTCTTTAAAATGATTTGGGTTATATTCCCTTTGCCCGTATATTCCACATACAGATTGAAAAAGATAAATACCTTGTTCTTTCAAATGTAACCTGTTTGTGGGTATAGTTTTATGAAATTGTTAGAATTTATATTTTTCCATGATACTCAGTAGAAAAAGTGTTAGTGGAAAAGTCCACTTTGTATTTAGTTATGTCATGAGTCAATTTATTAGAAATATTCAGCCAAGAAGTCATAATTTCTTGCACTGTCTCAGTTGAATTTTCTTCCAGTGACTTTTCTTAATGAATTTTTCTACAACAAAAGAAATCCAGAAAGTTAATAATGGCTAATAAATTTGTGTTATAGGGGCCAGCAGCCAGCAAATGGCAAAAGATATACATTACTGAACTCCCACATGACTGACTATGGTTTGAGTCTTGGACCAGTGGCTTGAAACTCACTCTGAGTGTATTTTGTGTGCATACCCAAGATCCCTGGAGGAGAATGGAGGAGAAGGGATCATGCCATGGCCATCCCCCCCAGGGGAAGGGGGGTGATTTCTCACTTTCCCTCACACTGTTTCTGTCTCTCTCTATAGTGAGTGCATGTGCCCTAAGGCAAAAACCTCTTTAAAAAAATAATAAATTGTGTTATAGAATCTAGGCTTCATTCAACAGGCAATTTTGTTCAAATTCTAGGAAGGTTTATTTTTCATCAACAAATCATGAGAAAATGGAAAATTCTTCTATCCTGATTGTATTAGAAGCTGATTAGTTTTCTATATATTCATAATGCCCATTTTAAAAATTTTATTTTATATAGAAGACATATGCTTTCCAGAGAGAGGAGGAATGGGGAGGAGTGAGAAATCATACCGTGGTAAGAAGGCTACAGTGCAATTCCCTCTCCTTATTCTCCTCTTAGGACTTGGGGTTTTCATATGCACCTAGCATCTTTTTCAAGCTGCTAGGTCTGGGACAACAACTTCAAAGTCAGTCATGTGGGATTAGGCTGCCTTAATCACCATGCACCACCTGGCCCTGTCATGCCCAATTTTAACTTTACTAAAAATATTTAGTAATTTTAGTGAGTTCACTAATGAAAATAATGTTTTTACATGAATATAATTTTATTAGTAAAATATATTATTTACATAATTGTATTGACTTAATCTATAAATCTGTATTGATTAAAGAGACCAATAATAACTCCAAATATTTATTTTTAAAAAATCTATCTGTAAACTGACAAACTTTTTCTGTCTCATGTGCATAATGACTATGTGTTTACAAAATATAAACAAGTAAATAGCAATTAATTGTTTCTACTTCTTTATTCCTGTAACAGTACAGAAAATCTAATTTTAGAGGAAAAACAGCTATTCAAAACCTTCTAACCCAACTAACATACTATCAACTATTTTCCTAATTAACTTTAAAATATCTTAACTTTTAAAAAAATGATGGACTCTAAAGGGAAGAAAATTGACATAATTAGTTTTCAGGAAAAATGATTAGGTACTCAACTGTGCATTATTATGTAGGTGGTTTGTTTTTTGTTTTTTGTTTTTAAAAAGCTAAACTTTAATTATTCAGATACTTTTACAATGAAAATAGATACTGAAAGACTGGTCTTTGGGAACCAGCAGTTAGCGTAATGGCTATGTCGCTGGACTCCCACGTAGTCGATCGCAGTTCGCGTCCCAGAGCCGGTGGCTTAAAACTCACGCTGGGCACGTGTGCGTGCGTGCCTGAGATCCCGAGAGGAGAATGGAGGAGAAGGGATTGCGGTGTGACCATCCCCTCTGGGGGATGATTTCTTGCTGACTGTCTCTCTGTCTCTGTCTGTCTGGCGAGTGCATGAGCCCCATAGCGAAAACCTCTCCAGAAAAAAAAAAAAAAAAAAGACTGGTCTTAAAGGTCCACGACTGGACAAAAAGTTAATAAAAAATTCCTAGGCAGGTGTTTACAGTGGACAAGGCCCATTGTCTCCACTCTCTGGCATTGTTAGGACTGTCCCTGTCTCATTCCCTGCATCATCAGGCCAACTTTGGTCCCCTCAATTTTGTTGGGAGGGCACTGCACTAGCAAGCTACAAATACAGAAATACAGGGTATAAACTTTAGATTTGGGGGATAAATACAAGGAATAAAAGTGGAAATAAATGTAGTTTAAGTATCATATTGAATATTCTTGAATAACAACTAAGAAAACTGCAAAAGAAAATCATACAGGGAAAAGAGAAACAGTAAATGTCCAGAAAAAATGTGAAATATACTATGTTCATAGATAGGAAGAAGATATTTTAAAGATGTCCGTTTCCTCTCAAATTGGCCTTCAGATTTAATTCAGTTTTAATCAAAACTTTAAAATAGCTTTACAAAGAATTTAAAAATATTATTCTTAAAAGGGCAATAAAGGGATAAGGAGAGCTGTAATATTTCTAAGAAACATAGGAAGGAGGAACCTGCTTCACCTGACTTCAGGAGTTCCTGTGAAGATCTGGTTATTGAAACAATGTTACCTTGGTATAGAGACAAACTGACTAATAAAGCAGGATTGAGATCTTAGTAACAGAACAACGCATACATAAAATTTTGGTATATGATAAATGTAGCATGTCAGAAAACAGAGCAGTAAATGGACAGAGAAAATGTCTATGTTATGAGAAAAGATGAAATTGGCACAACACATATTCAAAAATTAGCTTCAGATGGATTAAGACCTTAACTTTCAACACCCTGAAATTCTTAGGGAAAATATATATGAATATCTTTAGACCTCAGAGTAGGAAATATTTGCTTAGATAAGAGAAAAGAAAACATAAACTATAAAAACTTTGATCAGTTTAATGGTATCAAAATTTAAAATTTTATTCATTAAAAACTCTTTATAAAGTAAAAATATAAATAAGAAAGAAGATGCTTGTATTTCATAAAAGCAATACAAGTAAGGATTAAGAATATATAGGCAGGGTGCAGTGGTGTAGTGGTAATGCAACACTCCCTGATGCTGAACTCACATGGGGAAGTCCTGCATTCCTGTCACAAGGACTTGTGTCCTGTATCCTGTATGTGCAGAGAATGTACACACCTTACACACCTGGTTGAGGTTGGACTTCAGAATGAAGACCCCCTTTTTATTGGAAGGGTGTGATAATATCTCTTCCTCATGGAAGATATAAATAAATACATTTAAAAAGAAAGAATATATAAGGAACTGCTATACAAATTAATTAGAAAGCACAATCAATTCATGGGGGCAGGGTGGAGGTCACAAACATTTCAAAGGAGGGAAAGCTTACATGACCAAGAAGCACATAAAGGAATGGTCAGTATTATTAGAGAAGAGAAAAATGAAAATCAAGACCACAAGGAGATACCATTTTGTACCCATTTAACTAATAACAATTGAGAAGTCTGTCAATACTAAAAGTTGGAGATTGTTTGGAGCCACAACATTTCTCATATATTGTTTCTGGAAGAATAAATATGTAAAATCCACTTTAGAAAAAAACCTAACTATCATCATCTCCTTACCTTTAACATTCATATAAACCATGACCATTACATCCGCTCCTAGTCCATACTCATGAGAAAGTCTTACACATACTATTTCAGAAAGCTACTGGAATATTCATGGTGGCATTGTTATCAATGATATAAATCTTTTTTTAAATTATTTAAATTTTTAAATTTATTTTTTTTTTCAATTTAACCAGAGAGAGACACAAACAGAGAGAAAGAAAGAGAGGGAGAGGGAGAAAACAGATCATCAGGTCTGGGACTCTTACCACATTCAACCATGTAAGAGTCCTTAACCACCATGACACCTGCCAACCCCTCAGTGATATAAATCTTGAACCAACACAAATGCCAATCAATGATAGAGTAGATATGAAACTATAAAATATCACAAAAAAGATATTATAGAGCACTCCTAATTAGTAAGCCATTAATTTGGAGTTGGAATACCAATGCTTTTAAGAGTTCCCCCTACATCCACAAAGACATACACAATATGGCTAAATCTTAGAAATAAATAGTTCTGAAATATATCAGAGGAAATTACTTTTTATTAAGCTAAAAATTTAAAATATAATTTTATATAGAAAGATACAGATATTTATGTCAAGAAATACATAGACTATAATAAGATCTATATAAAACTAAGCTTGATTTTCAAGATTAAGGTCACATCA